AATGAAGTTGGTTTACGCTCCCCGCCCCGCGCGGGAAAGCCACTTGCCGTGCCGCGGCGGACGCGGGATCTCCTCCTCGTAGTCGCTGAGCGCCAGTAGAGGAACGACGGAGATCGAGTCCCAGTCGAGCTTAGTTCTGCGCTCCTTGCTGAAGAACATCTCCGCATTAGTGGCGGCAAGGTTCTTTGCAAGTTCCTGTAATTACATTGCGTGTAAATAAAATTATATATATACATATATGTGTGTGTGTGTTTGTGTGCGTGCGTGCGTGAGTGTGTGTGTGTGTGTGTGTCGTGTGTGTGTGTGTGTGTGTAGTAGTGTAGTGGTGTGTGTGTGTGTGTGTGTTGTTGTGTGTGTGTGTGTGTGTGGTGTGTGTGTGTGTGTGTGTGTGTGTGTGTGTGTGCGTGCGTGTGTGCGCGCGCCCGTGTGTGTGAATGTGTCCACGCACGCACGCACGCACGCCGCACGCACGCACACACACACACACACACACACACACACATATATGTATATATATAATTTTATTTACACGCAATGTAATTACAGGAACTTGCAAAGAACCTTGCCGCCACTAATGCGGAGATGTTCTTCAGCAAGGAGCGCAGAACTAAGCTCGACTGGGACTCGATCTCCGTCGTTCCTCTACTGGCGCTCAGCGACTACGAGGAGGAGATCCAGCGTCCGCCGCGACACGTCAAGTGGCTTCCCGGCGCGCGGCGGATAGCTAAAACCAGCTTCATTAAGAATCTAAGTACGTGAATGTTATTCGTAGATAGGTCGGATGGGGTCGCGTGGGGTCTAGGGGTGCCGGTCTCTGTTTGAACGTCAATCCTGGAAGCGAGTGAAAAAATTTGTTTAATTGGTTTGAGTGCAAGTTTGGGTTGATATATGTGTTATTGGTTAAAGATATAGAAGGAGTGTCCACGCTGGCATATGTAGGGGCATGTATCGGCTTATGTTAGCAAACTGCGGCACCTATACTGGTTAGAAGTCTTCTGCGTCGTCTTTACGCAGGGTAAAGACGTAGTACAAGCTTGCCGTTAGGGGAACACGTTCTTACCGATAGAAACTGATCGAATTAGGTCAAAGGTTAGGGAGCTTAGCGCTGTTTTCGGAGTGGTGCGATCTAGGACTCATCAGTGCATGCTAAACGCTAGCTCTAGTACTATAGCCCGTTTACATTAACTGTTGCTGGGCCGCTAGCTAAACGCATGCACCGATATGCCCATAGTTAACCGCCAATTTTTTGTATACAAATTTATAGCTAAACCGCCACAAAGTGAGCCGTGTTTCACGCCCCTTCACAAGTGGTCTATGAAGCAGAAAGACCGCTTGAGAGCGCGGCAGGAAGCCGAAGAGAATGAGCGTCTGCTGTCTGGCGGCGAGCAATTGGAAGACGAGCAAGTAGCGACGCAGCACTGGAGCGAAAGACCGCCGCCGGCGTATTCTGGTGATGCACCGCCATCTAGCGGCGATCTTCAACATATTCCAATGATTACTGTTCCGACATCCTGTTTGACGATACCGAGTTTACCCCCAGAGTGATAACAAATTACACAAATGCCACTATGTATCAAAGCGCTATACATAAGAATAAAACTGCGAGAATTTTACTAATTGAATATTTCTTTTGCGAAATGCGAATCTTTTCTTCTAGAAACATGCGTCTTCAGACCGAATGTAAATTGTTATGTGCAATGTAGGGCCTACTATTGTAATCGTGAATGTATATAAATAGTTTTTTATATAAATTTTAATAATATTTACTTTATGGTGAAAGTATATACTGCGCATAATTACAAAAAAAAATAAGGATTCGACTATTTTTACGTGGTGAAAAAAAATGTGCCGAAACCCGGGATTGAACCAGGGACCTTTAGATCTTCAGTCTAACGCTCTCCCAACTGAGCTATTTCGGCAGCTGATATAAGATAGTTTCTAACAGACTCCTTTTGGATTTGTATTAATATTATTGTTAAACTTTACTCATATTATATATACGTCTTTCAAATATTAAACTAATGGAAGGGTGCCTGATGTGTAACGCTGTTCAGGTTCTTTCGTCTATGTAAATCTGAAAAACACGTTTTATGGATTTTCTTCTTCTATTTACACTTGCCGTCTATAGTATAGGTGACGGGGGAAGCACATAGAAAATAAGCGCGGGTTGGCGCACAAAATAGTATAGGTAGGCATCTGAGTGTCTATCTACAGATATATAGGAAATATATACATATATGTGTGATCTATACATTTCAATGGGAAGTGTATAGGGTGACATATTATATTCTTGTTTTTCGAGCAGGCAGATGAATTAAAAAACACACCCCTAATTTATCATTTACACGAACCTAAAGTATTTTTTATGAAAATGCTTTTTCTCTTCAAATATGAGTAGGCGTCTGTGTCCGACCAGTTCATTCTTGGATTTCCCCCACCGGTACAAACCCGTACATAACCATTGATTGATCCACGCGTGATCAAATCAATACCAGAAAACGGTTGAAAACACGAATGAATCATTTCAAATCTCCATTGTTAATATCGTTTTTCTAACATACTGAACGTTGGAAGCCAGGAAAGCCAGGAAGCCAGTTGGAAGCCCATACTGCTCATTGGAAGCCAGTAAACTGCGCGATCGGGCCTCGATAAGGGAGCCTACAGCACTTCCCCATACCTATACCCACTTCCGACACTGGTGGTTGTAGCATGGGCTCCCGATGCCACCCATTCCTCGATACGCTAATATATACACGACAACAACGGATACACCGCGCAGCTGCTGCTGATAACGGCGAATTGAGCTTTTTTTGCGTTCGAGTGATTTTTTTACTTTGATCAAACTTTTTCGTCGTTCGAACGAACTTCGCGCTACGCTCATGTTCCATTAAAAGCTCCGTATATATAGGGCCCACTTCGCAGTACAAAAAACTCCCCGGTTGCCGGAAAAATGCTACAAAGTATATCGGGTAACCGAACGTGCTTCTATTAATTTGTTCCACCGAATAACTATCGTATGGTCGAGTCTGGCGATAAAACCTCTCCGGTTACCGGGATTTTTTTGCCCAAATAGCACTCGCGTGGTGGAGCCGGACGTTCATGCTGCTAGCACCGGGCGCTAATGTGTCGTCAAAGTGATCCAGTTCAGCCGCGTAGGTGGCGGCGGTTAGTAATTCAACGCGACAGTAAGTGACAGTGACAAAACACGTCAACATCAGCGTCGTAGCTAGCACACTGTGCTTTGGGAGAAACACGTGAGGTTTGTCTTCTGGGTCGACGACAGTGGGTAATTTCCCGTTGGCTCTGTCATGACCTTGAGAAGGGGAACTGCCATTCTCCCCGCTATCTATAGGGAGTTGATAATAATATTAAATTCAACATCCCACCGATAATACCATATAACCTTATAACCATATAGACCATAAATTCTCCAAAGACAAAATGATTGCAACAAAGAAGGAGCGACCCTGACGTTGATAACATCGACAGAGAAGCACTATAAATTGCAGTAATTTTTTTTTACAATAGTTGTATATAGTTATATTTTACAATTAAATTGAGCAAAGGGACGAGAATTCAAGTATGGATCTGCCAGATCAAAAAAACTAAAATTGAATGAGTTCTTAAAAGTCGACACGTGGTGAAAGCAGTGATCAGCATCCGATGACCGAATGCAACGAATTCGCTTTTATCAAAGAACGTATTCTGAGCAGATACCCGGCTACACAAGTGTCAGTCGTGCGAAACTCATGTACCACGGGTCTACTCTTACTCTATTGGAAATCCGATCAGCGTGTTTTGTAAGAATTTATGCAGTTGCATCGTGGTCGATTGTGTTACGCTTTGTTTTCTGCACCGTCATGATTTTCTATAGGGCCATAGTCTATATAAGACGTGGGAAGCTGTAGTCTAGGACATGCATGGGGGAAGCCCATATAGCCTAGTATATGGGTGAAGGCGGTACGCTAGGACGTGGGGGGGGGAGAGGCCGTAGTCTATGACAAAAGGAAGGAACATGCGTGGGGTAATACAGTAGTCTAGGACATTGGGAAAGGCCACAGTCTAAGAAACGGAAGGGGCCTTAGCCTAGTCTCGGAGGGGCGGGGAGCGCCCACGGCGGCCTTGTAAGACTCTATGCCAGCACAGCCCGTATATGAATATTGATAGTATATGAATAGTATATGAATATTGATAGTATATGAATAGTATATGAATATTGATCTACGTTCTCTGTTCGCAGTGACGAAGGAGAGCGCTTCCGCCATCTACCGGATTGCAGACGAACCGCTTTAGCAGAAATCATGTAACAGTAGTCGTGTCATTATGAAGCATTCATTATCAGCTAGTATATATATATATATATATATGGTGTCAGCCTCCTTGGAAAGGGTCATGTTGATTCAGTGCGCGATATTAGCCTACGCTAAACTGATTGTGTTGCTGCGGCAGCTCTCGACAAGGTTGCCTTCAACGAACATCAAATCTGTCTATCCGTGAATATAATAACTGATGTGATATTGGTATTGAACATTAGATGTTGGTAAATACCCGTGCAGTTACAACATCTTGATGGTATCGCGTGTGCGATATAAGCTAGCGATTTTACCGAATGAAGTACCGCATGCAGTTATATCTGCGAAGTTAATCTTGTACGTTTGGGCATAACTTAGAGACATGGCTGATTCCAGGCTGAAAGAAGATTGGTGACGGTTGTCATATGGAAAAAGCCACTCATTGTTAAATCTAAATAAATACTATACGTGCAGCGGAGAGGGTGGGTAAGGGTAGCTATTTTCGTGAAACGTGATCGGCCGTTTTTATACCTCGTGAACTGTGAATTGCAATTTATTTTGTTTGTGAACTGTGAATGGACCACCTTGCGTGAAGCGTGATTTAGCTTTTATTTAGTCTGTGAACTGTGAATAAGCGGTCTCTTTCTTCGTGAATCTATGCATGTCAGACGCGGATTTAGGCCGGTTTGCACCGGTTTCCAGAAACCGGTCACAGGCCTCAAAATTCACCAGAATGCACCAAATATAGCCTAATTTTTAAAAAATTCTCGGGGGGGCATGCCCCCGGACCCCCCTACCTGCAGAAGAACATATGGAAACTGGATTATCCCCGTGATCTGTGAAAAGAGCATTATTTTTACTGTGAAATGTGAAAAGCAGTTTATTTTTACTGTGAAATGTGAACAGTACCCCCCTTACCCCCCTCAGCGGAGGCATGCACCGCTTCTACTGGACGCAGATCCACTGCTCTACTCCGTGTGGGTTCGACGAGCATTATCACTCGGCTAGCTCAGCTATCATACACCTATTTGTTCATCACTCATACGCTATGGAGTCTACAAATCTAATACGAATAATAATAAGAAACCAAAAATATATAATGAACCAATAGTAGTGACTGAATAGGTTTTCCGAAATGTTTGGTTTAAATCTTACCAGTTGATACTAAAAGTGCAATGTTATAAATTGACCCGGCCACCAATCCACGCAGCAATTTTCATGACACAGCCCGTAGGAGTAATTAATTATTCAGATAGTTTTACAGATACGATTGGTAAAATTCCTTGTCACACCGCTAGCAAAGAAAGTAATTTCGGCAGTCAATATACAGGTTTTGCTGACCAGCCCATAAAGATCTTATAATATATATATATATATATATATATATATATATATATATATATATATACATAGATAGAATAGATAGATAGGTAGATAGATAGATAGATAGATAGATAGATAGATAGATAGATAGATAGCTATGATTAGATAGATAGATACGATAGATAGATTAGCATTGAATTGATTGAAGCCGTAGGGCCATCGGACTGGTATTGCTTGTACTCTTTGTGTTATAGTTTACATGGAATGCATTTTTTCAATAGACTTATAAGAAATATGTTTGCCACGATTCGGGATTTGAAATATTCAATATAGCGATGACAGCGATACTATGTAAATAGTTGATGGATAAAAGTTTGAACTAAACAAATAAGGAGCGACATCTTTTGCGCGAGCTGCGCTACTTGCCAGGCTGGTCCTGGTCCTTCCTCCTACTGTTGTTTTGGTTGTTCTGTTGCGTGGTGTTGTTCGTTGTTCAGTTTGTTATTGCTGCTTATTGGATGATGTTTTTGTTGTTGATCCCTGTATAAAGCAGAATATAATATAATATATACTATATATATATATATCATATATCAGGAGTAGACAATAGGGAATCTATTCATAGGAATAGATAATACCCTATTTATCTCACTGTCTGATTATATATGCATATATATATATATATATGATATATCATATACTATATATATAAATATATATGTAGGTAGAGGCGAGAGCAGAGGGAGAAGATAGATGGGTTGCTTTTTCATCTGTATCTTATTTTGATCGATATAGATTAGACTGGAATAGATATATATATTTATTGTATATATTATATTTAATTACTATATTATATAGATATGATAGATAGATAAGATCATACATGACATACTATACATGCATGCATGCTGAATGTATACATACAGACATACATAGCATCATACAGTACATACAACATAAATACATACATATACATTACAGTACATACTACATACATAACATACATACAATACATACATACATACATACATTTACATACGATACATACATATCACATAATAATACATACATACCACATGACACACACACAGACAACACACACACCACACACCACACACAAACAACACCACACCATCACACACACACACACACACCACACACACCACCACACGAAACACACACCACACACACACACACACACACACACAACACACACACACACACACAACACACACAACACACAACACGACACACCACACACACACACACACACACACATACATACATACATACATACATAACATACATTACATACCATACATACATACATTACATACATACCATACATACATATCATACATACATACATACATCGATTACATACATACCATACCATAGCATAATACTACTACATACATACATAGCA